TAAACAAGATGTGGTGTGACCAACGTAAACTGGTTTTAAAAAGCCTCAAGAAGTGATAGAAAGAAGCATAGAAAAAAGATTTAAAGAGCAACAGAAAACAGCAGCAGAACACATGAAGAGGAATAGAAGACGTTTACCTCGTCTGCGCACTGTCATCGTTCTCCATGAGGGTCGGATGAGGCCTGAAGACTAATTCGATTTCACTAGCACCATCCATTACGGGGTCTATTGCCACAGTTGTGTTGTTATTGTCCAGTTCTAGCCCAGAATCATCCGACGTTTTGGTCCTCTTATTACTAGGCCCCGCTTCCTGATTGCTGTGTGTTGAGGCATTGCTACAGTGTGAACTGTCGCCGTTATCTTCTGCTCCGCTGCCATTCTCAATCTGTTGTTTTTTGCCCCTCTGTAGCCTGAGCAGAAAGAGGTAGAAATAAATGCTAATCCGCGTTCCAAATTCACCCAACGTACAAGACTTGCAGTGCTTGTGCAACTCCTCCCTCTCCCGGTCTCCGTCATGCCAGAAGTTAGACATATGCGCACACAAGCACTAAACGTTTCACAGATACTCAAAGTTTAAAAAAAAAAAGGTAAAAAATAATTCTTTCTTATAAAAAGGTACTCATAGACAAAACTACAGATTTTTTTCCTATCCCTCAAACACTTCTTAGACATGTCTTAAGATAACTTTAAACTTCATACAGTTATTTTTCAGGCAATTTCAGACCATTATTTTCAACAACATAAAATTTGGGGCCTCTTTCCCAGCTGGCTCTCTTTGGTTTAAATGCACACCCAGAATTTCCATAGCGTGTAAACACCATATATTCCAGCCTTGTGAATTAACTTGCAACTAAAACCTAAGTTATGGCATTATGTGCATTTATTTGCATGTAATGATAGTATGTTGGTACAGGACTCATCAAAGACATGACAGCCATAATTTGGTAAAGTTAAGCTGAAATCTGCTGTCTACATCAGGCTGCCACAGAAGTTGCCACAGGGAGTGGTACAAAGGTTTCCACTAGTAGACAAAAGGTTAAAAATTATTTTGGCAAAGGTTAAAAATTATTTTGGCAGACTTCGGAGGAGAGCAGAGGACTCTCAAGCTACACGGGGAGTGAGGACAGACGCTGTGTTTTTAGTGTTAAAGCAAACAAGGTTACATGTGGACAAATGACGTGGATTACGTACCTGTTCATAGCCTGAATCTTTAATCCTTCCTCAATGCTGTGACTTAAAGCTTGCTGGTTATTGTGTTTGCTGATTCTTGCTAGCACTCTCTCTTGATGAGCTTCATATTCATCTCGGCTTGGATAAATTTTACTGATGAGAGCGTCAAAATTGGGATCTGGTCTCAGTGATCTTTTTGAAACTAGCTTTTTACGACACGTGGGACATTCTTTGTTGCTGGACACGAACAAGAAGGAAGAAAACAATCCTAACTCCCGAGCAATAACAAAAGTCTGCCCGCATGCTGCAATCCTTAGTCAAAGTGCTCAATATTAAATCTGGGATGAGGCTTCTATCTTTTGACAGATCGGGTACTTCCAGATATTGAAACAAAAACCCCTGCTTTTTTTTTTTAAAGTATGTTTAAGCAAACTGTATTTAGACTGAAGAGTTCAAAAGTTCCGCTCTGCAAACCCGTTCTTCCCTTAACCCTCTGGCTGGACTTTCACCTAGGAAAAACAGCACGTCTGTTGGAAATTACATTCAGGCATGGTCTTTCTAGCACTCACAGGACAAAACAAAGATGAAGGGACCTATTCTATAGTTCAAGCACTAATTACTGGGAAAACTAAAACAGTCTTGTCCTTCCTACCATTTTGTTCTCATTTAACTAAAATGTCAGGTTCACACATTTCTTTCCTGTAAGAGGAAGAGGCTCACCAGCTGAAACACAGGCGTCTTTACTCCTGATGGTCGTCTTGTTTCCCTTTAATGTACTTTTGCTAATTACTCATCAGAATTTACACAAGCACAGCAAAGTAAGTGTGACCCCTGAACGCAGGTAATTGCCATCATCAGAAATAGATACGTCATTGACTTAACTGCTGTTGGTTACCTCAGAATTTTATTGCTTTTAGGAAAATATGAACTTGTAACTGAAGAATACAAGAAAAATTATTTGTACTTTAGCATAGGTTGTTTCAGTAGTGAAGCCTGGAAGCAGGGCTACTGCAGAAAGGCCACACAATTTGCAATTTATTATTAGGAAAAGAAAGAATAGGGAAAGGAGACTCATTTTTATAAGGACTGTAGTGTATCTTTTGTTTTGCTATCACTGGATTGAAAAAAAAAAAAAAAAGAAAAAGGAAAAAAGAAGAGAAAAGAGGTTTTCAACTTGCCAGAAACAAAGTTACGGGATGATTTTTCAGATGAGAGAAAAAACAGATCTGGTCTGCCACAGATGGCTGAACACACAGGAATGAAATATGAAAGATGGGCTACGCATTCAGAAACTTGCGGCGCCCAGGCACGTAAGCGTTCCACATCGACACCCAGCACTTAAAGCATTTCCTTGATCACATTTTCATGTCAAGTGAAATCCCTTTTCCCTCTAATAATATTTACATACCCACTCCTGAGGGCTGTAATGATACAGTCAGCACAGAAGCGATGCAAACATTCTTTTGTCGTCATGGTGTTTTTTAACATATCCAAACAGATGGGACACATCAGTTCACTGTGCAGGCTCCTGGGTGACACCACTATTTCCAAGCCATCGGTGATTGCTTCCTAGCGTAAAATAAAGTAAGAGTTCTTTAATGGAATTTAGGAACTTCCTCGCAGAGATTGCATGTTTTCCTATTCTTTTAAAGAGAAACACAGTAAAAAGACAAAACAAGCCACGTACACAACCACATCAAACCACATACACATGCTGCTCAAGGAAGGAAAAAGAAAGATCAAACATCAGTTTATTTTTCTAATATTGTAAGATGGGTTTTTTTGGGAGGATTTTAACGTATACTACTGTTTAAAATAGGCAGTTAACAGACCTAAAGGAAAAAGAGAATATTAAACCACGTTCTAAGAAGTATAAAAAAAAGCCTTGCCATAAAGGCCAGCTCTTTAACGCATTACCTGAGGCGTTCTTTGCAATTCGTACAAACTGAGCTCCCATGTTTTACTTAAAGGTTGCGTCCCATTCGTCTGCACGGCTTGAGACATGGCTGGGGGGAAGGAAAAAAAAGAGGAATGAGTTGCAGCCTTGTATTCTTCTGGCTACAGGGGCCAGCTCCCTCTCCCGAGCAGGCTTCTCCGGTGAGCGCGGCGTCTCCGGATCCATACAGACACAGCGGTCTCTGCGCCAACAAAGCAGAAGTACAGCGGGAACGCTTGTTCATCCAAGTACCGGGCTCCATTGCGTTACGCACGGATAATCCCACGCTCTGCACCAGTCCAGAATAATCGCGGGAGTCAGTCAGCCATCACCACTTTGCAAAAATCAATTAACAAATCAAATCAAAAATCAAAACATTCCTAAAACATCCACTTATAAACGTGCATACGAGGCAAGTAGGGTCTACTTCCTAACCGAGTGGAAGGTCAAAATTGTACCCGCACCCAGAAAACTAGCTAGAGGTGTTCGCTGGAAGCACGCTATAATGCTGTTCTTTTTCCTCCTGAAATTACATCCCCAGGGGTTTCCCATCGGAAGTTTAGAGAACACTGAAAGATCAAGTCAAACCTAGTCACCGGCTCATTTCAGTCCAGAGGTCCAGCCTCCCTGCGCAGTCCTGCTGGGCATCAGGGGATGGGCACCTCGTCTGCAAGGCCACCGGCGGCGCGGGAAGCCAGAAGTGTTTAAGTTTCAGAAACACAAATCATACATACATTCTCAGGGTTTCGCTCATTTTTGTTGTATCAGTAGTGGTAGACAGGCATGCCTGGAGATGGACAGGGCGAAGAGTAACTGCACTCAACGCACGACTGGTGCGCTCCACAACCACTGCTGCAGAATGTGCTTACAGGCAAAGGCACACATCACCTTGTCATTAAAAACATAAATAAAACAAACATCAAAAAAAGGAGACCACGCAGAGAAACTGTAATCTTTCCCATCAAAATTTTGGGATTATTGTTTGAGATACGGCAAAACTACTACACATGGTCACTGCAGACAAGAAAGTCAGGTCAATATGACAGAAGACCATTATGTTTTCTTGAATGGAAAATATTTTCACACTGAGGGAGAGGTGGCAATCCTTGAAGCAGGAAAACTTATCCCAGACTGTGTGGTATGTTTAAAACAATAAATATAAGCTACAAGAGGGAAGACTGTAGTTGCAGACGTTTCTACTAGGTGGAAAAAGCAGAAGTGCTTTCTTCCTTTCTTTTATAACTTTTTTTTTTTTACATCTAGGTTTGTATTTCCAGACCCTTCAAATCAGCAGCCAAATGCAGATTCTATTGGCATCTACTAGGTCCATTATAATCCAGTTTGCAATTCAGCAAGCTCTATATGAAAAGGGTCAACCTCTCTGGAGAACAAGGTTACTTTATAAGCTTTAATTAATTGTTGAGGGAAAAGCGAGAGAAGCGCTACAGCAAAGATTATTATATCTACTTCTATCCAGGCACAGAAATTAGTTTTCCCACCTTATGAAAAAAGGCGGGGGGGGGGGGGGGGAGGG